GACAGCAGTCACCTCAGCCCGATCAAACACCAACCCTGTGCCACGCCGCACGGACAAGACAACACCGCCTCAAAGCGGTGATAATGGGTACGAAGACCACCGACCAGACACGGCCCGGTGATACGAATATACGGTCACACCCACTACGGGATGGGATCCGCGACGAAGGCCACATCATCGAAGCCATCCAGACTGGCAACAAGCCCTGACCTCGACAACTAGGGTCATGGTTCTCAGCTCCTCAAGACAAGACAGTCATCGGCGACCCAAGGCGACCACCAACTCCCGTACGATGCCACGGGAGACATGACGATGATGACGAAGACCACAACGGACACCGCATTGCGCAGGACGGCTAACGAACCACCATCGAGGCTACAGTGCTGCCACGACCGACACAGTAGCGCCACGTCACATCCTGCCGCAATGTGGCTAGAACACTATGATGATAGCCACAACCGGACGTGCACTAGAAGACGGCGTAGCTTGCAAGTCGAGTTAGCTAGGCCCTCCCTTAGGCTCTCGACTCTTTGGTCAGGAGAACCTACTCTTTGTATAAGCCCTGGCCCCCAACTCTATATAAGGGCAGCCATGTCACCTATCTCGGGCACGACTCACATCCTCTACCATTACGTTCATTCTCCATCGTAGTAGGCCTCCTGGAGCTTCTTTTTGAGTAGCCCTTCGCCTAGCGTAGGTCCTTCCATCTCTTCCACCATTCTTGCACCCCTCATTGTAATAACTTTAGAGCATTCAAGCAAGGAAAACACACTTCCACCATTCTTGCACCCCCCATTGTAATAACTTTAGAGCATTCAAGCAAGGAAGACACACTCTATCATCTCTAAGACTGAACGTAGGGCTCTGGCCTGAACCAGTATAAATCTTCGTGTCTATTGGATGCCACCATCATTTTCCTAGAGCAACGCAACAATCGTATAAGTTTACTAGTCTGGTTTACGAAACACCAACACATTGAAACTATTTAGTAACCTTTTATATTAATTTAATAGTATTAATGATACATAAATATTAAATTAATTTTAGTATTTTTCTAATTTAGTTTAAACCTAATATATTTGTTGTTGCAAATTATTATAATACTTTAATTTATTTTTTGGTGATGTGAATTATTTTATATAATTTATAATTTTATGATAAATATTATATAAATAATGTTTGATTAATTGATATAGTAATTTAATTCATGGATATTATATATATTGATTTAATTGATAAATATTATATATTTGTTGAATTGAGTAAATATCTAAATATAAATTTGAATCGAGACATTCGTTTTGTATTTGTATTCGACATGATCCGTATCTGTATTTGAATCCAAATTAAAATGTGATAAAAGGTGACATCCATACCGATTCCATGCGAATCCGATCCGTTTCCATCCCGACATAGAATGGAGCCGTCACAACCAGAATATTAAAGTTCTCCTAGTGAGGTAGAGTTCTCCTAGTGTTTAGGCATTTAAATTTAGTATAATTTTTCTCTACTAAATGCCTTTTAGTGAAAATTGTCATGTGCTATGATTAGTGATAGTTAAAAAAAAATATTAGAAGAATTCCGCTATTTTGGTAGTGCATTGCAGTGACCGACAAGCAAGGCTGTCTGTCATCCTGTCGTCCATGATGCAACCTTATTTGTAGATGCATGCATGGCGATAGACTTTTGTCACGCGGTGTGGGTCGCGGGTGTTATTAGTGTGACCCATGCCGTGAGTGAGTGAGATGTCGTTTTAATTTGGGGAGACGCTAGCCTACGGACTTCTGGACGAACGCCCACGCCTGTGCACCCTGTGTCACGTGCATCTTTTTTTTTTCCAGCGCCCTTTTTCGTGTCTCATGCCCGCATCGTCCGCGCCTGCACGCCGTGTGGCGTGCATCACCGTTTCCCGCGCCCTCCTACATTTCCCACGCCTACATCGCCTGGATGCCTCATCCTGTCTGCACCACCCGCCGCACATAGGGACTGCACGCTTCTGCTCTGCTTCCCACGTGTAGGCGGGGACCGCCTGTGCCCCGCTCCATATCGTGCTCATGGGGACCGCCTGTGCCTACGCCTACTCCATGTCACGCTCGCACCCCCGCCTGCGGATGTGCGCTGTGTAACTCTGGCCGTCCCATTCAACGCTTGAAACATAAAAACACTTGCAACACAAAAAAAAAACTTGTTGCAACGTACGTCTAAAACAGATGAAACATTTGGAACAAATACGTATAACATCTGTGTGAAACATATGCAACAGCTAGCATACGTCTGAAATGGATGAAACATTTCGAACAAACGCTTTGCAATATCTGTGTGAAAACATGCGCAACATCCAGATAAAACACTTGCAACATACGTCTGAAAAACAGATGAAACATTCCAAACAAACGCTTGCAGCATACATGTATAGCTAATGGAACATGTGCAACATCCCAATCTATTTTTGCAACATCCATATGCAACACTTGCTACATACCTTTGAAACATTTAAAACACTTGAAACATACACTTGTAACATGCGCTTCTTCGCGGGAGATGGTGTCCTGATCGGCGACGACCTTTCACCTGGTGGCGTCGAGGGAGGGTGTGGGGTTGGCGCAGTGCGCGCCATGGCCACGACATGCGAGCGCATAGTGGGGTGTGGCGGTGGATGGACGCAGCGGCGAGGCGGAGTGGGGCGGCGAGGCAGAGTGGGCGGCACAGCGCATGATGGGTGCGCGCACGTTGAGATGTCCGCGGCGGCAACGAAGAGTGGCGCGACGCGACGTAGGATGGGGGCACGCGCGAGGAGATGTCTGCGACGGCGATGCGGATTGGGGCGAGCGAATGGCCGCACAATGCGGTGAAGCATGTGATGGACGAGCAGAGTGGCGAGATATTTTTGATAGAGGTAAGGAGACGTAGAGAGCATGCAGAGGCCTATTGAGCTGGTAACGGTAGCGCGCAGGCCGGTCAAGGAGCGTCAAGACGGCATTACCGTTTAATTTGACCCTACAGTTTGCTTGTAGTAATAGGGTGCTTGGTGGCAGTGGCGGAGCTTGGAGCCAAATACAGGGGGGGCCATTTCAGTGAGACCTGACTCTGACGGTACAGATTCTAGCGTGGCTGCTATTAGCTGCCTGGGCGTTGCCGCGTTGGGGCGCCGCCGCGCCAGCCACTGGGGGCCGGTCAGCCGACTGCCAACGAGCGAGTCAAGGAAGGCCGCCGCTGCCGCCGCAAAGGACTCCAGCTCGAGGCATCGACAGCTCCGGTGCTCCGACCTTCAGCTTTCGGCTCGTCGCCTCCGCCGTCTTGGTCACTCCGTGGATTATTTTGCTCGTGTTGACTGATGCCAGGGCCTAGGTGCCCGGGTCCCAACTCCCAAGTGCAGGCTTGCACGTGGCCCATCACCTGTTGGGTTAAATTAGCTAGTGGACTTGCACATCCGCAGCATATATCCTCATTTTTTTACGGGGCAAGTGGGGCCGGAGCCCTCTATGGCCAATACGTGGCTCCGCCGTTGCTCGGTGGGCAGTCCACTTCAAGGATGCATACATACATGGAATAGGATAGGCACCTGCTTTGGATCACCAAAAGGTAACGCCCCCCAGTGACCGGGACCAATGTGCAACAAACAAATGCCACTAGTTAGAAATAGGGGCCGACCGGGCCGGCCGGGTTCACGAATAAACCGGGAGAGAAGGAAACAGGCCACACAACATCGAGGAGGCCGCCGACAAAGATATTGGAAGTTTGGAACCATTTTGGAGAGACCGTACCTCAAACACATACTCGCCTGAAAAGCTGAATTTTTACCTTCGCGTGCTCCGTCGCGCACACATGCACCGGCCAGGACCAGGAATGCCGGAACGGTCTGGTCTGGCCGTGTCTGGTCCGCAGAAGATCCGTGGACGCCCTCGGTGGACACGGACAAGGACGACACGAGTGGCCGCGAGCGCGACCCGGCCGGCGTGGGTGCGTGCGTTGCGTACGTCACTGTCGTTTTCTGCGGACCGCACGGGTGTGGTCCCTCGTCTCTCCTCTCTTGTCACCTCCGCGTCGCGTCTCATGCATCCGTCCCATCTTTGTGGCTGCCGGGTGCCGGCGCCGTGTCGCCCAACTGCCCCTGCAGACTAGCAAAGCTTGCAACGACCCAGCCCAGTGACGTCGATCTCAAGTTATCAGCAGTAGTTCAGGAGTACCAAGCTAGTGGCTAGTGCATTGGATTCAGATTTGGTCAAGTCGATTTTGTGCCACACAAATGAATGCAAAATTGTTACATCAGAAATGAATACCAAATCGTTACATAAATGAATACATTCCTAAATTTATTCTACGATTTAATGAAATGGCGGCAGCGCTACAGCGAGGCACCTATAATGACGTCATCATTTCCGAGATTTGTCAGCTTAATTCAGGTCTTTGGAGGCTCACAGGGGGTATGATGTGCGTATATGGGTGAGTGTGCGCTTGTATATACGTACTGTGTCTAAAGGAAATTACAATGCATATACACACGGTAGAGACGTGGTCCTGACTCCTAACCATGCGCTTCAAATATGCACCGGAGGATGGGAACTCCATGAGAGACCATGAGCAATGCAAGGCGCCGAAAGGACCGGCCGGGCCCATGGCCCTTTCTCCGGGGGACATGGTCCGATAGAGTATGAGGGACATGGAAAGAGACGCCCCACCACACAACAAGATTAGTCTTAGTTAATCGCCCATGGCCGCTCTAATAATAGTCTAATCCAAGCACTCATTGACACCACATAACACACAGCCGATCTCCCGTCCTCCTCCCTTGGATTCTCATCTCATCATCCCATCTGGGCGCTGTGGCTATAAATACCACCTCACCCCCCACCACCCAAACCAACCACAACCAGAGAAAGCTTCCAAGTTCCAACAACAACTCCTGCAGAGAGCTGCTGCCGTTTGCCCCCAGCTGTCTGTATTTCACGATCCTAGCAGAGATCAGAGAGAAAGGGAAGGGCTACAGAGAGTCTAGAGAGATGGAGATGTACATGGAAGACAAGAGCAAGATGCTGTTCAAGAAGGGGAGCCGGAGGTCGACGGCGACGGCGGCCGAGGGGAGCCCGGCTGCGGGGCTCAAGTCGGGCCGTGCGTCCAGGGGCCCCGCCGCGGGCCGGTCGGTGCCGGGCCGGCTGGCGAGTCTGGTGAGGGAGCAGAGGGCCAGGTTCTACATCATGCGCCGCTGCGTCACCATGCTCGTGTGCTGGAGGGACTAGTACAGGAGAAGAGAGTGGGCATCCAGGGCCGTAGGCCCATTGGGTGGATGTGGCTGGGCCTAATTGGGCCTGGTAGGTCGTTCATGTGTCATACTGACTAGTTTCTTTCTTTTGTTAAAAAAAAAAGTGTCATAGTGACTCTTCTTTCCGGAGACTGGAAAGAGAGATCAGAGATGTGCCTGTTCCATGGCCATCCTGTGCTTCATAGTGTTTATAGTGTCAGAAAATCAGTTTCTGTTCTGGCTGAAGGACAGCACAGCATTGTTGCAAAAAGGCTAGTACACTTCCAATTTCAGTTTAAATTATGGTTCCTGTTGCTATGTTTTTACTGCTTGGTATCACAAGTCTGAACTCTGATCTCTGAACAAGACAAGTCTGATCTCTGAACAAGACAATTCTGAACTCTGAACAAGACAAGTCTCCTGAATTCTGAACAAGGCAAGATGGTGGTTAATGTAGCAACGTTTTTTCTTGACAAATCAGTATCTCTAAATGAAAACTGTGTATTAGATTTTATCATTCACTGTATTTTTCTGAATGACAGGTTGCATACTATAATCAGCTTATAAACGACTGAAGCATTTTACAGTGCTGTTCTAGCTGTTCCTTTTAGATGACCTGAATTGTATTCTCCTGCTGCGCAAACGACAACTGAAGACGCGCCTACAGAAAAGTTCTACTGAAAAAATTCTTGTCACGAATGTCTGAAACATAACCTTCACCTGTTACAGCAAACACTCTCTTACCGAATTTCTGTCAAAAAGAAGGAACAAAATAAACGTAGCTACGAAAAATCTTCAGACTGCCAGTTTCAACTCTGTCAACATACGAAAGAATCTGTAACAACTACACCAACATCAGCTAGAACGCACTATCTGCTGCTAATCATCCGGTTGATTGAGGTATATGACCCGATGCATGCACATACGACGCCAATCATTATGATGATTATGCACAGGATGATCTGAAAGGAAAGGGAAAGTTAGATCACAGATATTCAGTGTTCAGCAATTTCGGGGTTCAAATCTGTATCTGTTGGTGTGTATGTATGTGTCAGCGTTTCTAGTTGGTTACCTCCCACAAAGGTACTGCACCCTTCTTGATGGAGAGATAGCATGCACATGGCAGTATTAAAGCCTGTAAATCATCAAGCACATTTTTATTAACTTGTTCAATTGGCCAAAGAAAAATCCACTGCAGAAGTTTAGGTGAAACATTTTCCAGAACCTACCACAAGCATTGTGAAGACAGATCCAAGCAATGCCATCACCAGGGCTGCAAATCAGAGGGGATATGAAGTAGCATTAACACACATGATGTTTTGGGTGGCAATTCCCGCATGTCATTAGGATTTAGTAAATACTGTACGTACCAAATATTTGATATTCAGTTACCGAGAAGACTACTCACCAAAATAAGGAAAAAGCAGAGCCACCGCAACAGTTGAGAAGACGAGGCATGTCCTCACAGACATTCCAACCAGGTAACTCTGCATCTTCTTTGGTAGGGCTTCCTCTATAGACAAGGCGACTGGCGTCATTGTCAATGCATACTTTGTGTATGGATTCACAACCTGAAACCAGAGAAAAAAAAATAATGAAATTAGCATCTCTTCATTTTGAATGCAATGGCATAACGGTAAGGGGGTTTTCCTCGTACCGTCATCCAAATGGCAATTTTCGATGGGATGTACTGTTGTGGCAAGTTCAGAGTGAACTGTGACATAGTGGACTCGCCAAACATCAGAAACCCTGAGACCGCAACTCCAGCATAAACAAGTGTTACCACTGTGAAGCTGAAACGGTGGACAATATCATCATGTAAGCAGGCGGCAATTTTCACAAGAAACAACAAAGTTATCGTGTTGATAAGAGCACTACTTACCAGAACAGGAGCACAAATGGAAACTGGGAGCGTTCCTTCATGGACGAATATATGTTTGGAAAAACCGAGTGTCCTGAATAGCAGTATCCATACAGGCCAAGTGCCACTGGAAGGTGGGTCACGTTCACTACAGCACCAGAAAAGTGAAACCCAATTCCTTCTCCAATGCCAACCCAGAATAGGCAGACAATGACTGTAATTGTCGCGATCACACCTCCAGCTGAGTACAAAGATGGTCAGGACTCAGGAACAATACTTCTTTCACTGAAAGGTTACTTTTGTCGCTTAGAAACTAACTGAACTATTAGTAATATGAGTCAGTTCTAATACTTCCATTCCTTAGAAAGAATGTTCTGACTTAAATTGTCCTAAAGATCAGAAATAAGAAGCAATGCTGTAGAGATTCTACATTTTTACATACCAGAAAGATATGAGAGGAGACTGAGGTTCCTGAGCCAGACTGATGGGAGAATTGCCAAGGCCATTGTGATTGCAAAGAGATTGTGTGCATTCAGGTCGATGCCAGTAAAAGCTAAATGTGCTGAGGGAAACACTGATGACAAGCTGTCTCCTAGCAGCGTGATGTACTCCACACAGCTTGCCTGCAAAAATTACTTATGTTCAACAATCAAAGGCATACTAGCCAGCCATTCACAATAAGTTTCAGAGTTCAGAGAACACTTACATAAAGCTCCAGGTAAAGAACAACCTGAAAAAGAGATGTGATCAGTCAGGTAACAAAAGATGTGGTGACTTTTGAAGATATCTGTATTGTCAGGGAATACATACCGATACAAAGATTCGACCGAAAAAACCAAAAGCGACTTGTCCAATATCTGGGTATGTCTCAATGTTGGGTGAACTGTCTATGCATCTCTTCAGAAGCAAGCCCGTGTAGCACGAGCTGCCACCCAACAAGGGGAGCAGCAGGAGGCTTAACCATCCCCCTTCCTTGATTCCGTAAGCTGTGGTGAGAATTCCAACGCCGCACAGAACATTGAACCCTGGGAATTCGACCAGCAAAGAGGTTCAGAACAAAAATCAGCATCCCAATTCGACATCCCGATCCTAGCTAATTACTCTGCAGCTGATTCAGAGTTTCAGACGATTTCAGATTTCCAGCTACTACGAGATTTGGACGTGAACAACAAGCTTAACACAAAGGAATCAGAGATCAACTGATGACGCACCATTGATGATTGACTGGCTCCTGCTGCACTTGCTAGCAGGCGGAGGAAGCTCGATGTAATCGGATTTCAGGCACGCCCTGGACGGCCTCTCGGGCAACTCGGCCTCGTGCCCAGCCGGAGGCCGCGGCGGGTGGGCGAGGCTGTCCGTGGACTGCTTCACGGGCGGCTGCTGCTGCGGGTGCAGCGATGACTGCGACAGCTGCGAGAGCGAGGGCGGAAGCAGCGGCCTGGTGAGCGGCAGCCCCGAGCCGTCGCCCTTCCTGAGGAAGAAGGAGCTCCCGGCCTTGAGGAAGGAGCTGCCAAATCTGGTGAGGCTCGGGCTCGCTGCCATGAGCGTGTTCACCCTCGGCGACGGCACCGCGCTCATCATGTCGATCGACTGCCTGCGAAACGAAAATGCCGCCAAGGAATAGTCGTCAGTTCCGACTTCCGAGTCGCGACTCGCGAGCGACATTGACAGCGTGCAACCATCGACCATCGTATCGCGTGGAAGAGAGGGCGAGGCGATTGGTTGACGAACCTGTAACTCTGCGGCCACGCGCCCTTCGGGCCATCGTCGGGCGCGTCGTCGTCGCGCTCGTCGCCGCCGCGGCGCCCGCCACGGCCGGCGCGGGCCTCGTCGTCGCTCCGATCGGAGAAGGATCCCTCGTCGGAGGAGGTCGGCGGGGAGCCGCCGTCCCGGTCGGCGCCGAGGTCGTCGTCCTCGTCGCCGATGAACAGCAGCGACCGGTCGCCGTGGCCCATCTCCTCGTCGCGGTCCATCTCTGGCGTCCACGATCTCCTTACTACGGGAATGCACGCACACGACACAACATGTCAATGCAAGCGAGGATCAACAAGATTCCAACCATCAATCCCTGATGCAACGATCTCACAACAACGAAGACGAGAGGTTAGGGTAAGTATCGATCAGTACGTACCCGAACACGTACGTGGCGACGCTTCCGCGATCTCCAACTCCTCCAGCCACGAGCGAGCGAGAGAGCGAGGGGAGAGAGAGAGAGAGGCGGCCGGCGAACACGAAGGGAGGGAGAGAGAGAGAGAGAGAGGCGGCCGGTTTCTGAGGAGCCGGTCCCGGACTCGTGGCCGCGCCGCCTCTCTCGCGTTCGCACCTCTCGCAACGATGAACCGGGTGACGTACGCACGTAGTCGTGTTCGCGGCGGCTGACACTGGGCCCGTCGCTAGTGCCACTGAATGGTGGGCCGTGGGCCCATGCCCTCCCCTCGTGTGGTATCGGAAGCGTGCATGCGTAGATGTCGCATCAGGTTGGTATTGAGCTGGAAAACAGTAGAAGTACGTACGTGACAGCTTGTTCCGAGTTTAAATCACGCTCCTACGTATAAAACAAGGTCAAACTTTACGTGACCGAATATTCCATCGTGTACACTATGGCCTCGATAAAACAAGCCGAAACACTGTTCCGGCTGATCTATTGTGAGAGAAAAACACGGGTCCGGCTAAAAAAACAAGCTGAAAAAGACGGATTATAAGAGAAATGAGCAGGCCCTATATCCCCTCCAATCACAAATTTAATACTTGTCTTTTATAAATACATCTATATATATATACCTAATACTGAGAGTGTCTCCAATGGGCACCCAAACCCAAAATGCAGGGGTGAAGCTACATGAAGGCATCGGGCGGCCGACACCGACGACTTTGCCATAGCCTATTATAGCCAGCGATTTTTCACCATGTTGTACCCCAGTAGAAAATATGTTGGACCCCAACAAGTTGGCAGCCTAGCAGTTCGGCCCATCTTCTGCTTCCTAGACTTGGAACGTGGTTACATTACGTGAATGTAAATTGCAACCAGATACTGTACAGGCAGCATCCCAGAAGGCCAAACGTTTGCCTCCAGACTCCGCTAAAGCCTGGAGCCTTGGACTGAGTAGTCGTCGTTTCATCTTCCGATCTCCATTGTT